GCAGGGCTGGATATCAACTAGTATGTTGCATTCTGCAGTAGCTGTTTGAATGTATTGTACCATTGGCAGGATTTTAGATTTTGTGGGAGGAGAGACCAATGGCGGTAAGCAAGAAAGAGAGGAGATGTTTGCATAGAGGCAGACCGCGCAATAGGGAAGCGGAGAGAGTTTCTGGTGCGCATGTCTTGAGATTGAACAAACCAGCTTAGGCAGGAGAGAGCATGAGGAGGAGCAATGCCCAGCTTAATTTTATGAATTGTCTGGCATGCCAAAAAACGCACGCGGACCGAGAGCGGCACAGCAGAAGCAAGGCGGTATAAGTCTGTGCTTGGAGTCAGGCGAGGAAGCCGAAATATTAATATTTTCAAAAGACGCCTATGCATAATTTCGAATCGAGCAATCAGTGTTTTAGAAATAGCCTATTAGTAATACTAATACTAATACTGTATGCGTATTAGGGGCACTCGTAGGGACAGTCCCTTCTGTTGCTGAACGGATACAACTCGGCTGGGGTCCAGCGCGTGCCTTATTTTCAACACCACAGAAGTTTCGACACCGCCTTTCAAGGTGACGCAGAAAACGTGCGGTCTGCCGGTGTCCTTGGCCGGCCAGTGGTATAGGCTGACGGTATTACTAGTACTAGTAGTATTACATGTATAGTGACACGCGCTATGTAGCCAAGGTCTGCAGCGTAGGCTGACTTTTACAGCGGCTTCAATATGGAGTGCTTGAGATGAGCCTACCTAGCTACATGTATATACGATCGTGCAGCAAACGCCGCGCGCGAAGTTTAAAAGCCCTTGTTGCGCGTAGAGGTGCTCATTTCAACATTGGATCGTGCCCTGGAACTTTGCTTGCGTTTGAGACATTATTGCTTTTTGCCATTCAGAATGTCGGGTCGCATCAGAACCGTTATAGCGCGAAATGCCAATGGGACAGGAGAAGACCGTTACCAAAATTCCTCGTCCAAAGGAAGCCACCATAGCTGGGTTGACCTTTTCAAGGATCATAATGGATATGGTCATAATGACGATGTGTGTTGCGAGGTGATCAACTGCCGCCGCTTGGGGAGGTCAGGTTGCCATGTGCGCTTCCCAGAGGCGGACAATCCGAGAATCCTGTACATCGTGCCGATGTGTCAGCATCATAATGAGCTGATGAATCAGGACCTATACTTGAGCCCGGATGTGCGCTACAGGGCTGTGCCCGTTGTACCATCGCGAAGAGGCAACACGGCCCCACCGCCAACGACAATGGTGGCACGTTCTAAAGTGGAAAATGAACGGTGAGCCCCTGATTCTATCCGCATGTTGTGATGCTATTCGTCACATCAGCCATTGACGCTATGGACCATTGGATCAGCCAGTGACGCTGAGTTTACGACCGTTGGATCAGCCATTGACGGTGAACTTTCTCTTTAGCAAGTCTGGCACGCTACCAGTAGTAGCATTACCGCTCTATTCTGACCACTGCATCTGAGACATGCAGTGTAGTAATTCACACCATTTTCTGTTTCATGTTCTGGTCTCTAACTATACACTAGGAGCCTTTCATGCCCGCCTTCTTAACCATTTCCATTCGTACAATATTTTGCTTCTTCCTCCCCTTCCCTTCATTGTGCTAAGTCGCCCACATGTATGTCTGAAAGAAGGTGTTACTAGTAGCACTTACCACTTGTTGTGTGTGCCGCGACTTGAAATATATAACTAAAAAACAATAACAACAACTTGTCTCTCAACTTTTGAAGTACAATACTGAAATGTGACTTCAGCCTCCTTGTATTCCGTGAGGTGCCGTATGCTTCAACCTATCACCGTCGGTCTCTGTGATTGGGCACTTGATGTCCGCGTACTCGTACAATGTATATCAGATATAATTCTAACAATAATAAACCAGCGGTGAGGGTGAGAAAAGGAGCGCTTTTTGCATGATTGCAACTTTAGGGTGTGGAAGGTGTGTGTGTGTGTGTGGCAATCGTGTATTTAGCCAGCGTACAGCATGAATTTACATGTATATTCCAGGTATGCGCATTATAACGTACACAACATGTGATGAAATAGCCGTAAATGAACGCTTGTCACACACCTACACGGCAAGTACACGCCGGTCCAACATGAACATACCGGCACTATTGTTGAATGTTACTTCGCAGGGCCAAACGGGCAATGGTGCCCAATTCTATGGACGAGAATTTCAAAGCGGGAGAGAGCAAGTGAGCGAGGGGAGAGAGAGAGAGAGAGAGAGAGAGAGAGAGAGAGAGAGAGAGAGAGAGAGAGAGAGATAGAGATAGAGATAGAGATAGAGAGAGAGAGAGAGAGAGAGAGAGAGAGAGAGAGAGAGAGAGAGAGAGAGAGAGAGAGAGAGAGAGAGAGAGAGAGAGAGAGAGAGAGAGAGAGAGGAGAGAGAGAGAGAGAGAGAGAGAGAGAGAGAGAGAGAGAGTGAGAGAGAGCAGGACTTTTGCCAGCACCCTCGTGACGTTGCAGATATGTGGCTTGATTATTGTAGTTGACGTTGATTTAGTGACTTTGGCAAGTTTGAGTCGTGTCAAGAAGTCAGGTAGGATTCAGTACTAGGCAGTAGTGAAACGTGAGTGGTAGTCTTTGCCGGTTTCTGAGGGTATCCTGGATTTGGTGTGCAGCGCTGTGGAAATGGCTTGCTGTGAGGTCCCAGCACTGGATGTTGTATCAAAGGTACGACCTCGTAGGACGTGCTAAACCTAAAAAAATGAGTCTGTGTGAGTCTGTGAGAGATCGCCCACTCGTTCCGCTGTGACAGATTCCAGGGCCTCGTTGAGGGGCCCTACCCATCACCCATGGCTGCTTCTGGACTTGTTTTAGGTTTGGGTCCCGCCCACGGACAGAATGGGCACGAAATTGTGAAAAAATTGTAAATGCATTTGTTTGGCTCCTGGGTGGCTCGCACACCGTGGCACTATGCCGGAAATTTGAGTTTTTTCCGGCCTGGAAAGCCTGTCAGTGAGGCGCAAGAACTTGTAAATAATGTCCTGAGGGCCAGCATAGTGGCAGGAGTGTGTGGTGAAAATTTCACTCAAATTCATTGAGAAACACCAAAGTTACGGTCAAGTGAATGCCATATGAAATTTATGGGTAGGCTGCCCCCTTGGGTATCTCGGAGATGGATTAGTGGTGCGTAGTGGTCGCATCAACATCAACGTGTGGTTGGGGGTAGCAACGAAGAACAAATTGCTATGTAATTTAGTACGGGAGATATGATAAGAGATTTTGCACCGTCAACAGAGGGACCACAAAGAGTTCATACATGTAGATGCGGTGCACAAGCACGCAAAGAGGAATACATGACGGAGTGTGTGGACAAGCAAAGTCAGACAGAGCATTCATTGCAAGGTGTAATGAATGGAGGCAAGCTTAAATTGCTGAGCAGCCTTGATCTCCCTTGCACTCCTTGGGAGTGCATTCCAGGCCAAGGCTGCCTGAAAGGCTAAGCAAGATCTGCCTTTGACATACGTGTACTTCGAAAAAGAAGTACAATCATGTACTGTAGTAATCGCTATCTTGGTCGTCCTCGTTTTACTTTTAGTAGACAACATGTCCGCTAGTTGCAGAATATTACTTCGAAGTACATACATGTACATCCAACCAACCGATCAACCTAACAACTATCACTATTAGCAAGAGTCCATAATTATTAAATTTAAAAAATATGCTCTCGCTGGCATCAAGCGAAAATGAGGGAAAGACGTAAACGGGAATTGTCTGAAGAAAAAACTGACTATCACCACTGGGACTCGAACCAGGGACCTTCGCTTGAGGCCAGCGATGCTCTAACCACTGAGCTATGGTGTGCATTATTGCTATGTCTCCTTTATTCACTTCTTTTGAAGGCGAAGAAGCAGAGAACAAAAGGGGCGTGGGAAAAGGCTGATTGGAAGCAGTTTGCTAGCGCTATCGAGCAGTACTCATGATCATGCCCTGGAATGTCACTGCTGGAATATGTATGAGCATACGAGCTCGACGACATTTACTACGGCCCCAGTAACGGAGCTGCCACCCAACACCGGCCACGCAACGGCTGCAGAATCTTGGAATGTTCGAGTCTGCCTTGTTCGTTCTGCCAATGTGTCTTGCAAGTAATGATTATGTCTTCTCCCTGAATGTTCGAAACCTTTTTGCAAAAATAAAAAAATTGTCTGTACATGTGAAAATGGGTTACCCATCTTGTGTAGCTTTCCACTACGTGGTTCGCGGCTGTAGTTATTATCATGTATACTCGTATTACTAGTATTAGGTCACTTCGCCACTACATGTATGTACCGTCAGCTGTAATGATATCTGTATTCATCCTTTTCCTGTGTTATTTGTTGAAGTACATGTAAATATCAGAGCTAAATATTGCGACAGAGCTTTCGGCCATATTTTCAATTCATTGCATTCCCAACTCTTCACAACCACGCGCTCTTCAGCCGAACCATACAGACACCAGCAAGGACACTTCCGTTGATAATATTGTTCCACGCCTCTCGACAGCTGTTTCGCTCCCTGTCGGAGCTCATCAGTAGAGGATGATAATGGAGGAATGATCATTCTTCTACACCAGAAATGGCGCAAGTGCGCGCTTTCCACATAATTATAACAATGGCATTATGCAAGCTGTTAAAATGGTAAAGTGTGAGAACAGCGATAAATATTCATAGTACGCGCTCATTGGTTGGTGTGAATCCTGATCGGCAACCGAGCCTGTCGCGTTGGGGGATCTCGGCGGTGGGGATCTCGGCGGTGAGTCTCGCCTCGCCTGCATACATGGACATTGCAACATCATAATAATAAACAACATACATGTACTTTTCATGGGCATCAGTATTCCGCGTAAGATTTTCGTCGCCTGTGTGTTTCTCCACCAATGAGCGCGTACTATGAATATTTATCGCTGTTCTCACACTTTACCAGTTTAGCAGCTTGCATATGCCATTGTTATATGTGGAAAGCGCGCACGTGCGCCATTTCTGGTGTATAGGAATGATCATTCCTCCATTATCATCATTTTCATCCTCTACTGATGAGCTCCGACAGGGAGCGAAACAGCTGTCTAGAGGCGTGGAACAATAATTATTGTCTCTCAACGGAAGTGTCCTTGCTGGTGTCTGTATGGTTCCGCTGAAGAGCGCGTGGTTGTGATGAGTTGGGAATGCAATGAATTATATGTAAATAGTTGACATTTTTTAGTCAGCCGTGTCCAGTTATATTTATTGAAGTAAATACACTATAGCTGACATTTAGTGTGTTTTTAGGTACATTGCACTTGTCACACATGTAAACGTTCTATGCACATCATGCTTGCACACTTCTTTGTTCACACATCTGTAAGGTGCGACATTATCAATATGCTCTTGCATGGTACTGGCTATAGCATCCTCTAGGCGCTGGTCCTTGTTCTTGAACCTTCTTCTAGATTCTTGCATATGCCGCTTGTTTCTCTTGTCAGCTTGCTGATAACACTACCGCCTTACCTCTCTGTATAATTATAAGCACATTATGCCACTCTCCTCAGGCACTTGCACATTGCACATTGGTACTTTGTACGACTTGCATTTGGGACTTGTACTGAGTTCTTGGGTCACAGAGTTGAACAAGTTCAGCAAGATCTGGACCAGTTTGGGTTCGAAAACCTGAGGAAGTTGTTTCGTATACAGTCTTCAAGAATGATTGTGCGAGCCGCTGTGACTAGATGTGGATCGAGTCAGCGCATCGGTTGCGGGAAGGTCTGAATTGAGAAGGGATTCGGAACAGTCACACTACTTTGAGAACACAACGTCAATACTCAATACTACAATAGCGTGAAACTACACTAGTACTTGTACTCTATGTCAGTAAGTTTTGTGTAATGTCGTACACGTCTGACTGTTCAAGCATATTAAATTTTGTCCCAGTACATGTCAATGTACATGTATGTACATAATAATTGATTTATAAAAAGTAAAAAGGATCAAGGAACTACAAGACGAGAAGAGAAGAGAGTTAAGAGCAAGTTGAAGGCTGGCGCCCTCGCACCGACTTCGTGTTCCTGAGTGAGACAGAGAATAAGGTCAACATAGTGCATATGGCTGCGCTGTAATTGGTCGTGCAAGGTGTGGCCATTGCAAGTGAATGGGAGTGGGGATGCACTTGACGTCGTGGACAAGATTAACCTGTGGTAAGATCGGCTGGGACACTGACGTGGGAAGTAAATTGGAGATGGTGAAGCAGTGAGCCGTGATGTACCCGTGCAAAGAGTGGGCCCCCAAGCAGATAAGGGCTGCTCGTCACTGAACACGTTCTAATCCTCTTCCACTGGAGTGCCGCCACGTAACCTAATTCGCCATACATAACAGCTAGATGCATTGGAAAAAAGTTTTGAAAACAAGGTTTGGAACAACAGCAACGACGGCAACAACAACTACAACTCTTATTGGCGATGGTGCCATCGTGAGAATAAAGAATTCAACTACTACAACACAATAACATCCAAAACAAGTTACAACAAAAAAAGCTCTAATGCTGGCCACTGTCTGGCCATAGCGAAAATAGAAAAGTCGAACAGGGAATAAGTGACAAACATTGGGAAAGAATAGGCAGGACCCTCAAAACGACTTCCAATGCAAAGAAAGATGTGCTACATTGTAAATCCAGGGTACTAGAACTGTCTACTGAAGATTAACTGTACTAAAGTGAATCCAGCAGACACCAACGCAGTAAGTCCTTGGCTACACAACAATTCTGCAGTGTTACACTATTTTCGACCCAAACAGGGTACGATCAATGATAGGGTCTCTGATCGTGCCCTCTTCTATTATTCAAGTCGGTAGGAATAGCGCAAGCTCCCACGTAGGGAGCAACACACAATTCCCCAAGTATCGCCGAGTCGCATCAACCTCTTCTTCCATTATTGCCTCCTCATCTGCATGTTGTAACCTGTAGCCCTCATTGTAGCCCTCACCTTGGATATACCCGGTTATTCCTATACCCGACAATGCGCCGGCGCTTGTTTATCTTGCCTTTGCTTGTCGCTAGGGGTCTGCGGGTAATGCTCGGCTTTTCACTATTTAATGCTGTACATAATACTTTTGTAAATTCCCTAAAAAGAAACGTATAATGCTCACTTATCGCCCCTCCCCCCCCCCCGAGACACACACATCATAGCACCATAGAATGGGGTTGCATTTTTGTTGTTTTTGCCATGTGATTAAGCAATCACGAGTGAAACGAGGGTTGCCTGCTGCTCCTCGTTGCTAGTCTTGAAGAAGAAAAAAATCACGCCCATCTGCTGCTGCTGCTAGCTGGCAATATTGATGCTGTCCCTGCGTTCGCCACCTCCAACTGCTGAGGTGCCTCGTGCTGTCGCACTACCACACCTTGGTCCGCCCTGCGTTGACCCGGCATCGTACTCTCGTACTCTGCTCATGCTGCCGTACTCTCGCGTTGTGGCCTCATGGGTACGTCTTACGCTATTTGCGCTTGCCACGTGCTTATGCCTTACCTGGTGGGCTCTCGCGCCTTATTTCCCATATAAGCATGGTGGTGTCTGTCATTGTGGACCAGGCGGCATCCGGGGACTTCGCCTCTTCCATACGTGGTATGTTTGCTCCGCCACACCGCCTGTTCTATCTTGCGTACTCGGTTAGTACTGTACCTTGGTTGAGGCTTAGTACGCGCGCTGGCGTCCTATCGTGCCATGAAAGGAACTGCTTCCTAATATAGAGATTAGGCGCCATGAGCCCTGCTTCTAGTAAACATTGCATTAGTAGCGCAGATACCTTTATGCGAATATGGGGTAGTCTCGCCCGCGCATATGGGCGTACTCGTACTGCGGCCTGGGCTTTCCCCAGTACGGCTGCCCGCCATTGCATGCCAGACACCCCCATTGTTGCGCGCCTAGCCACGCACGTGGCTTTTGCCTGCTGCTCGGTTGTCAGCGATAACTACGGTTTGCCGTACGCTGCAAACCTACATATAATGCTCGGGGATAGTTACTAAGACACATCAAACATGATAATGGAACATGACATTCAAAAGATACCCGGAATCGTATTAGTAATAATTGTAAATGTATCCTGGTGCAGTTACGTATGAGTACCACAGTCACGCAGGGATAATGCCCTGTAATGCCTCGAAATTTAAAATCCCATATAGTGCTCAATATAATGGCGGCATTACTTGCCGACCCCTGCTTGTCGCCACTACACGCATGCACAACTCATCTGAGTGTACATTACTGTAATCTTCTGTGCCATTTGTACTCACTCTGACTGCCGTCCATCCCGTGTGAAACACAACTCACTTAGTTCACCTCGAGGGTCCGGTTTCGGTCCTCCACGTTCCCGAGTTTCATCTCATTTTGTGAAGTCTAGAACTGTGTACGGTGAAAGTTCATATCATGACGAGGCTACCGGCATGCAGAGGAGTTACGCCATTCTCATTTTCTCCTACCCTCAATTTTATATAGCCTGATCACCCAGTTAGCAATGATTCCGAGACCATTGGTCGGACGAGCTGCTTGTATCTCACCACCTTGCAAGACCACCGCTGTGCTGCCTTTTACAATTCATCGCTATATTTCTGAAGGTTCGTGTCTTTTTGTAAAAATAAATAAAATAAAATAATAAGACATGTACGACAATGATCTTACTTGGTCGTAGTAGACTGAGCAGTAATGTTGCTTCACACACTTGTTTCTCGTTGACTGTTGTCCAGGAGAAGGACTGCTTGGAGACATTGGGGGCAGCCTGGGTTGGGAATTCAGTCGCGTTTCACGAAGCGAGTCGACACCGGATCGTACTTGAAGTCCGTTCCGAGGTAACCGTACATCTCCTCCAAGTAGGCTTTCACGTTGTTGGGGCAGGGCAGCGTCAGCCCTTCGAACTGGATCTTCCCCAGCGGAAAGACCCAATCGTGCTGATAGCGTCGCTCACCTAGATTGAATTTATAGTAGATCTGCTGAAGCGTACCGTCCTGTCGCAATTTGAATTTGTAAACATCTCCAGTCACGTTGGAGAAATCAATATTGTCGGAATACTGATAGGTACCGCTAGCGTTGTGACTGATCAAGAGTTTTTCCGCGTAGGACGTTCCGTCCTCTATGCTGTAGACGCTGGGTAGATTCTGGCGCAGGGCCTTTCTGGCCCTGTCAAACTCTTCGTCACCCAGCATCGACACGTCTGTATCGTTATCATGCGGTATCATCTTGCCATTGCGATACGCACCCAACAACGAGCCACAGTCCAACCAGTAGGTGATGTCTTCCTTTTCCAGGATTTCCGCAACCAGTTTCAAGACGTTGAGGCGCTGTGTCCGATACAGCGCGTACCGCTCCACCATTTCTGCGTAGTTGGCCACCGTTACCTCTCCCAGCCAGCTAAGTGGGATGTTTTCCTTCTCTTCGATCGTGGTGTCGGCCATGATCGGAGGTAACTACGGGCACTTGCTTGTAAAATAAAATGTTGTGTGATATCTTGTCTTCGAGCTTCTGACTCTTTAAATTTTTTTTTTATGTCCGGCAGCTGCAGCCCCATAATGGGCCATACTTCAACTTACTTGAATGCGAAACTATGCATTCGCCATGCCTGGCATTACGTGAGTGGATATGTTAAAAAACTTCAGTCAAAAAGTAGTCCAAGCACACAGCGCAGCATGCAGAAAGACTTCACACAATTACAGTACGATGTCAATGTACAAGTACCCTTGTTAGATCTCGTCAACAAAGCTCAGAGTTACTGGCCGGACTGATCACAGTGCAGTAATGGACGACAGAACATACAGGCACCGCGTACCGGCGGATTATGCCGGCATAATTATTGGCATAATTTGGTGGTTGAAAATGTGGAGCATAATTAATTATTTGGCATCCTTTCGGAGGTCGGAGCATAACTACATGACTGTAGATCTAGCACAGACTCCACACTGACCACAGTTCATGTAGGCTACACAAAATTCTGTACAATGCACCTGATCAGTGCTGGACTGCTGGTAGTCCGCATAGTAAAGGGTTCGGAGGTCATGCAGATAGTGTTTTCAATGAAAAGCAGGGTAGAAATCATCGCAATACAGTCATTATTGTGTGCTCGAACTCATCTCCTTCAAAGTAGTTCACTCTCACACTGATACAGTACAATGTCATGTACATGTAGCAGAAGATGCGAGTGAATCAGCCTTGAAGTGAACTGGACCTTGATCAGGTATCCCGGGCGCGGGGCGGACGAGATAGTGACGGGTAGTCCGCAAAACTCCGCGTACATGTACAAGTACATTAGTAATAGTATGCATGTTATGTACATGTAGTCATAACCTCTGGATTTTAGCAGCCATGACTGTGCAGGCTATGGATATTGCTCTAATAGTAATAATTTATTTAACTAACTTGTGCACGTTGTGATTCTGCTGATCCACATTCCCAAACGGCGGTAATATAAGCCTGCACAGTGTGCACAGTTGCCGGCCGGTTTTACACCGGATACATGTATGTTCGACCTGTGGTTGAATACTAGTAGTACGCTTCGTCCCTAGCCCTCTGGCAGTTTCCAGTGCAGTGCTCCCTGAGGCTACAGTGCTAGTTTGCAAAAGGCCCTGTGCAGGCTGTGGCACCAGAGAGCAAAAGAAAGCCTAATTCAAATTGCCACGCCAGCTCACTCTGTCAACATGTACAGTGCTGGCAACTGAAATGCGACGCCCTGAGCGGTGCGTTCACATCGCAAAGACGCAGCACGGGATTGTAATAGTACGAAATAGAGACCCCCAGAATGTGAATGCACCGCTCAGGGGATCGGATTTCAGTTGCCACCGGTGTACATTGTGTGGTTGTTATTGAGGAGCATCATGAAAGGTAAGGGCGAGACTAGCTTTAAGGCACTACCCGCTATCATTCGATCCCAGCGTACTTTGCCTGCTTTTCGCGCTAGCTGCTCACAATTTCTCCTTGGGCACCCTGTAAGAAGGCCATAGGCCTGTTGGGTATACCCAAGTAAAATAATAAATACTACTACTACTACTACTACTACTACTACTACTACTACTACTACTACTACTACTAATACCCGCGCCAGTGCACCACGCCACCCCACACCGTGACTTGAAGCCATTACAGCAATCCACTCGCCTACGATGTACATGTACATGTACATAGCTGACTGCAAACTGTTGTTCCAGTATTTCTAATTCTTGTGAGTTCTAGGACCTTAAAATGCATTTTTTTGTAGTCGCATGTCAGACCAACATGACAACAATGCATTGACATAATGACACGATTGTCAAAAGTAAAGATGACACGTCCGCGTTACAACCGCTTTAGTACAGTTTTGTTGGGAAACAGAACCAGCTACAAGTACCTACTGGCACAGTGCACTATCTAGACTAGAGGTATTATTATACAATGTCATGTTGTAGATACGGGTGAGGCGAATGTGTAGTAAAAGAAGCACATCTACGACGATGATCTTACTGGGTCGCAGTAGACTGAGGTATAGTGAGTAGTACATGTAGCGACCTCCGAGGTTCCTTCACACACTTGCTTCTCGTTGACTGTTGTCTAGGAGTAGGACTGCCTGGAGACGTTGGGGGCAGGGTTTCAATCGCGTTTCACGAAGCGAGTCGACACCGGATCGTACTTGAAGTCCGTTCCGAGGTAGCCGTACATCTCCTCCAAGTAGGCTTTCACGTTGTGGGGGCAGGGCAGTGTCAGCCCTTCGAACTGGATCTTCTCCAGCGGGAAGACCCAATCGTGCTGATAGCGTCGCTCACCTAGATTGAATTTATAGTAGATCTGCTGAAGTGTACCGTCAGGTCGCAGGATGTATTTGTTAACGTCTCCAGTCACATTGGAGCAGTCAATATCGTCCGAGTACTTATATGTCCCGCACGAGTCGTGACTGATCATTATCTTTTCCGCGTAGGACGTGCCGTCCTCCATGCTGTAGACGCTGGGTAGATTCTGGCGCAGGGCCTTTCTGGCCCTGTCAAACTCTTCGTCACCCAGTATCGACACGTCTGTATCGCTGTCATGCGGTATCATCTTGCCATTGCGATACGCACCCAACAACGAGCCACAGTCCAACCAGTAGTTGATACCTTCCTTTTCCAGGACTTCCACGACCAGCTTCAAGACGTTGAGGCGCTGTGTCCGATAACCTGCGTAGCGCTCCACCATGTCTGTATAATTGTCCACATTCACTTCGCCATGCCAGCTGAGCTGGACGTTCTCCTTCTCGCCATTAGTGATGATATCAGCCATGATGAGTTCTTGCCTGCTTGACGAGCACTAGAGTTGTGAAGTTAGTTGTGCGATATCTTGGGAGATTCGGTTTGAGCTAACTACTTGTGTGGAGACTGATAGAAGTAATAGTTTGTTGAATGTGGCAAGGGTGCATCGTGGATGCCTTCGGGCACAATACCTCATGTAGGGAAAGTCACATAGTGCTATCAATCAATTACATTGTATTTGAGCAGTGCTGGTGATTCTGTGTCATTGTATGTGGCTTTGTAGCCCGCCAGTGCAGAAGAGCGCTACAAAGTACCAGTTATTGTCTGTCCATTATGTGTACTACCGTATACCGGTGAGCTTCACAAAGAACAGCGCATTGCCCACTCAATGATGCAGTCTTCCCTTCACACTGCGCATGTGCCCTTGTGAGTTGTGTCGTGAAGTAAGTTAGTTAGTTGTGGGATGCGCGCGTTGTGGGATAGCGTGACATCATGACGTGTGTGTGTCCATATGCCATGATGAGTACGGCCAGTCGCACACACGTGACAGACCAGCTGTTCCTTGATTTTTCTAAGGCCTTTGACAGAGTTAGTCATCATTAATCTGTTTCAGGTTGGTGTTCTCTTTCTGCCTGTTCTTGGGTGAAGGACTTTATCAGTGATCGTAGTATTTGCGTTCGCATTGGCCAAACTCTTTCTGACCCTTTGCCCATCACCGCCGGCGTACCCCAAGGTTCCCATCTCGGCCCGCTTCTTTTTAACCTGTGCATCAACTCCTTTCCTGATGCCCCTGCTTCTAGTACCCTATCCCTTTTTGCTGATGACTCTAATTTAATTCTTGTTTCTCCAGCAAACACCTCACTTCCTATCCATCATGCATTGCTCCAGACTGACATTGATAAGTGTTGTCAATGGTCATCAGCTACTGCCATGACGTTTAACACCAGTAAATGCGTCCACCTACCCTTTCAAAAATATGCATTAGCCCCCGGCCCGTCATCCCCCTTGACAATGAACGGTGTGCCTATTCAGAAAGGTGATAGCCACTGTCATCTCGGCGTGACTATCACTCCTTCACTAAATTTTTCTGACCATATAAAATCTATCACCCATAAGTTTCGCAGTCGTGTTTTTCTGTTGCGCCATATGGCACATTTCCTTTCTGCTTCAACCGTGAATTTGCTCTACAAGTGTTACGTACGACCACTGTTAGAATACGCAGTCCCTGTCTGGTCATTCGCCGTATCCCATTCAGATTCGCTTACGTTAGACCGACTGCAAGCCGTTGCTGCTCGTTCATATCTGCTTTGTAAGACCCGGCACCCTCCTGAGTGGGAAACCCCGAAGCAGATTCTTAATCGTACTTGTGACTGGTCATCCCTGAAGTGGCGTCGTCAGATTCTGTCCTTGCTGTATTTTCATCATGTGTTTTACCAGTTTCCGTCTTTGCTAGTTCGTTTCAAATTCAATGTATCCCTTAGTTGTCGTCACCCGTCCTCTATAGTTTTACCTCGTTCTGGCTCCCATTTCCTTAAATCCCCTCTCTTCAGTTTATCTGTGGAATGGAACAAACTTCCAGAACACATCCGCTGCGTTCAGTCCTCTGTCAATTTTCGCATTGCTCTAAAGGCTCATTACTCTCAGCATAGATATTCTCTGACTGGAATTCCGAACTTTTCCGTTTGAGAATTTTTTTCCTTGAAATTAATCCTTGCTGGGTTTTTTTTCATCTAAATGTCCCGCTATTATCTGCAGAGGTGATTTCTTCCCTCGTCGATTTCTTTCCTGCTTTTATACCTCGATATTTAGGTACTTGTTTCCCTTCTTCCCATGCTTCATCTTCCACTCTCCTCTCCCCATTTCCCCATTTTTCTTGCGATATTTATGTGGGAGACTTCCGTGATAAGCATCCATTTGCTTTTGGAGAATCCTTTTAAATAAATACAATACAATACAATACACAGGCTCAATCTACAATGTACAGTCATGTTACTCATGTACATGATTGGTATAGTTCAAAACCACATGTAGGTAAACCGTGTGTAATAGTTCACACATGTTGTTAGATTGACAGCATGAAACAAGGTGGAGGACACTAGCAGTGTGTTCGGATTCGGAAACAGTGACCTTAGAGAGGCTTTTAGTCTTACTATCCATCCACGTTGGCACGTCAGAACCGGGCTCAACACCCATAATGGTTCAAATGGTCCTAATGGACCGGGGCTCTGCCAACCGTGGATGCATGGTTGTAGTAAGGTCACTGTTTCCGAACACAGTGTCCTCCACCTTGTTTTGCTTGTCTGTCTGTCAATCTAACAACATCAACATACATGTGTCGTGTCCGTGTTGACTCCGTGTGTTGCTACAATGTCATTATCTGTGTTGTATTCCGTATGCTCCTACATGTACATGTACCTAATCTTTATCAAGTCACTAGTTAGTGTTTGGCGTGGCGGCGATGTGTCTCGTCGATCAATAGTGTTGTGAAACCTATCACCATTCATGCTTTGCTGGCTTCTCGCTCGCTCGCTCCGTGCACGCCACTACAGTACTTGTAGTTGTAAGTTGTAGTACAGACTACAGTGTATAGCTCGATGCTTTGCGTCCATCGTGGTTGTTGTTGTTGTTGCTGCTTCTCTGTTGCTTGGAACTGGGACGAAGCTTTGGTCTTCTTGTGTGGTGAGGGTGAGGAATGGGTATCTGGACTCCTGGTATATTTCCATAAAGAACCTGGAATTGTAGAATCCGTACATGATTGTACACCAATCACCATGCGCCAAGCATTAAACAGGTCCCTTCTGCACCTCAAACTGTACGCTACTGTAATAGGTCGCCGAGTGGTATCAGGAGGCACACACAAGACGACTGACTAATATTATGTTATTCGGCTCAATCTGCCTGAAGTTATGTATACAACTGCTCCGGCTCAATCTGCCTGGAGGGACTCGGAAAGGAATACAACTGCTCCGGCTCAATCTGCCAGGAGGGACTCTGTTCTGTTCTGTTATGTTCTGCTCTGCTCTGAAGAAATGAGTAAAGCATGGCAGCTTTTATAGGGCGAAAAGGAAGGAGATCATCATAGAGTCTGCATGAGCCATGAGTCATGAAAAAGGGCAGAAGTCTGTTGTGTCAGTCCAAACAGAACTTGGGAAGGCATAGCAACAGTATCTAAATGTATGAAAGAAGCAAACGGAACTTTGGAGGAGAACAGAGGCCAGGGAGGGCATTGGCAAATGGATGCAAACAGGATCTAGAAAGGGTCATGACTGTCCGCATGACCTCAGTCAGGGTCAGGGAGGTACAGTACAACATGTGGGTGTTAGTTCTACATGTACATACAGGTGCGATGATCTAAACTAGCAAAGATATGTAGTATGCAATCCAGCAAGCGCAAGAGAAACACAAGTAGTGAGAAGTGATATAATTAGCTTTGCAGGCTTGTCAGCAAAGGAGTGACAAGAGTCATGCAGTGCGTGTACGTGTACATGTGACATGATTAGAGGTCAGTAGATATTACATAGTACTAGTAGTACTAGTAGTCAGCTACAGTTCAGTACTAGCAAGGCCGGGATACTACACCCTCCCTTCCTACAGATAATCACGCCCTCGTGATTTTTCAAAAGTAAGCAGGTGTACGAATGATCATTATGGTGAGACAGCATGGCTTGGTAGACTGATAATAAAGTAGGGACCCTGTGTGTATAATGTGTGAAGGACCTGTCTCTCTGTGGAGCGGGAAGATGATTATGTATGTGTTCGCGTCTCAATACTGGACGGTAAAAAAAAGATGTGTAAAAATCGCGTCACTGTGGACGGTAACAGTTCTTCATTCTCGTCTCTCTGGGACGGTACAACGGAAAAAGTAGACTCGCACATCATGTGGCGGTATATCATTGTTACATGGACTGGTTATTTGAGTGCGTGCTTGCAGGGTATACAGTATTTTGGGTCTGAATCTGATTGCTTGGTCGTTACGGGGTGGACATGATCGGGATGGGTGATGAAAAGGCTAGGAAACTTTGTGGTCAGAAACTTGAGAAAGCGGTCGTACGGAAGCTGCAGTGTGGCGAAATGTTGGGTGATCTAGAACTGTGTACTGCATGGATCTGGACGTACATGAAGGTACATGGAGGGCTGTGAGTCCTAGGTTGTTGATCGTATGGTGGGGCGGGGACTGGGAGTGGGATTGTCTGTGGGATGGAGTTGCTGAAGGAACGTGGAGAGCTTTGTGTATCGCGTGTAGTGTAGCAAACAAACTAAATGTGAGAGATGTTAGCAGGGGAGCAACTTTGGCAGCAGAACGAGTTAGTGAGAGGAATATGGCAGCAATGATCACGATCACAGAATGGAAACAGTCACGGGATGGCGTAGCTTGCATGATAGGGGCAGCATACATGTATGTACTCACGTTAGTAGCAGGTGCATTTGAAAGGGTTGGCGATAGAGTTGCGGTAGAGCAAGTAGGGTCACGTGCCTGGGTTGAAGTGAAGATGGGTCGTGGAGCGCGAGGACGATAGCAATACGCAATGTCATGGCCAATTTTCTTGCAGGATCGGCAATAGGGACGGAGACGAAAGGGCCGACGTCGCTTGGGTCGTACATATACCGGTGGCTGTAGTCCAGGGACATACCGGGCATGGGAACTCGCTGAAGAATGATGGTGATCCATTTTGCCGAAATGCGTACGTGACGGCGTCGATCTGCTGTATGGATGGACTGACGAACCGGGATTCTGCATCGTTCTCAGGTCCTCATGGGTTTAGAAACGCGGTGGGGGCCAATTAACGGTGCTTTCCGCTCATCGTTCGAGGCTGCCATCAATGTAATAGGTACTAACAACGAGACTGACGACAACGATTGACTAAGGATGGTAACAACATAACAAGACTGAAGTTGCGTAAACAGATCTACAGGGACGAATTCACGCACCGCTGCCACCAGTGTAATAGGTAGGTTCGAATCTTACCGCTGCCACCAGTGTAATAGGTAGGTTCGAATCTTACAAAGGAACGTCGTTAACTTTAATTTAAC